GCAAGCGCCAACGAACCAAAAATGAAATGGCTTAAGCTTTGTGCAAAGCGTCTGTTCCTGTTTGTTGTTGTTGTTGTTGCTGTTGCAGTTGTTGTTGTTGTTGCAGTTGTTGTTGCGGTTGTTGTTGCTGCTGCTCAAATATAAATGCATTTGCGCCCGACCACAAAATGTGTTCAACCGGAAATTGTACGTGGAGAGTGCATGAGTGGGCGGTTTGGCTTGGGGGCTGATACCGGTTATACTCTGTGCGCAATAGGAAATAGGGTATATTGAACGGACATGACCGCACGCCAGTTAGGCATCTATAGAATACAACTTCTCCTGCTTTCATAATATCGATATGTTTCGCAAATTATAAAAGGTAAATACACCAAAGTAAGTATATACAGATCCACTTCAATTAGAAAAAGGCAGATCCGTGGACTTTGGATAGCAAGGTTTTTAAGCATGTCTATAAAGTTATGAGAGCTATATACAAAAAATTTGGTTTGTAGGTTATCTTATAAAATAAACAGATTATGAATATTTCACTTTTTGAATACCTCACTGGCTACCCTCTAAATTATGCTTTGGGGTATCGATAAATATCGATTTAGAAACATGGTTTCTTAAGCATAACTATAAAATTATTAGAGCTAGATACTCAAAATTGTTGTCTTATACTATATAAAGATTAAGATTAGTTTACTTTTTGGGTACATTCCTTCAAATTAGGGAAAAACTTAGTATTAATTAAGCGTCTTGCTTGCTTTGGTATGACTGTGAACAGAGTATTGCACAGTCGGTAATATTGCAATGCGGCTGCATTGATGCCACTTGTGTGTGAGTGTGTGTGTGTGTTGTGTTATGTTTGTGTGTGCGCGCGCAATTGGTCTATGGGTTTTTGGGTGCTTTGGCAGTCATTGCCATACGTTCCATTAGCTTTTTTAAGCGCCTATTGCCGTGGTCGCTTTCTGGCCTCTGCACTTGTCTCTCTCCCTCTCTCTCGATCGGGGTGCTGAAATTTTAACAGATTTTTGCGTGTGCGGCTTTTCTATATTGCGGTTGGCCAAAAGCCGCTGCGACTAAGCTGTTCCGAATGCTCAGTCAGACAGTTTGTCTGTCCGTCTGTCTCTCCATCAGTTTTGTCGGTTTTCAGTTCTGTCATTCGGTTCTTATTTGCATCGATGGGGATACAAAATGGAGCATAGCAGTTATTGGAGTCGTTAACGTCATCATTGCCATCAGTTGCACCTGCCTGACGCAGCACTTTTCGCCAGCAACGACGCGTCAAAGTGCAAATGAGCCAGGAGACAGGCACACACACACGCAGCACACGCACACACACAGCACACACACACCCACCCACCCAGCCGGGGCACTGTGCAAACACAAGAAAATGCACTCATGCAATATGCAGCAGGTAATCTCGTTTCTTTTAATCGCTGTTTGACATCAAAATTAGAATTTCTTAAGATGCTGCAAGTCGCCAACTATATAGACACGAAAGACACCTTTATTGTTGGTTGTTTGCTTAGATTTTACTTTTGTGAGAGTCGCGTCATTTTTCTTCTCTTGCATCCTCAATGGACACCTTTGATTGGGCGCCGTTCTTTGCATAGGAAAATTGAAAATTGATGGAACGCTTTTTAGAGCTGACCACAGTTTGCTTGGCATCAATTCAGAATTATCCTTCCTGGGAATATTCACACACTCAATGCATTTGCCATTTAGTTGACAGGCTTCTTTTCTAGCCCGAACACGCTTCCCGTTAAGTCCTGCATTGTTCATTTGTACAGTTGTAGGCATTTGGGAGTTGGCCCTGGGTCCATTGTGTCCACTTTGGTTACCATTGATGCTGTGACACGTTCCAACAATCGCTCACTTTGACGGCTGCTTCGGTCCATTGTTTGATGTTGTTTTCTTTTTTGTTGCTGTTGTTGTTGTTGATGTTTACTTTGTTTTGCACTCACATTCTATCCTTTCATTGTTTCCGTAGGGTATCCAGGAAGTGTTCAAGTTTTGCCTTACAAAAAAGCAAAAAAAAGCAAGTTAAGTTCGAACTGCCGCAGTTTAAATACCCTTGCAGAGTTTAGGTCGATATGCGGCGTATTTTAATACTTTTGGTACGCAACTGTTTTGGGGATTTTTATAAGAGTGTTTATATATGGGAGTTAAGGTCTTTGAAAAAATAAAACAAATTTTAATAAGAAACTAAATTTTTAACCGGATCCAATGCCCACAGAAAGATGCTAAGATCTATGCTAAGAGAAATTATATTATATTTCCAATTCAAAGACTAGACATAGATCGACTGGGCTGCTGATATTGATCGAGAATAAATATGAATATTATATCATATCATAATTTATAAATATATAAATCTGTAAGCCATGCATATATGTATATTATGATATGATATGATATGAAATGATATGAAATTATATGATATGATGATTAAATAATGTATTTTAGTATTATAAATTAATTATTGTATATGAATAATTAATTGAATAATTATATTATTTTTAGGCGAAATTAGAATAAGAGTCACGAACTGTGTAAACCATTAAAAGACAAGAAACTATATTACATATTATACATTTTGGTATGTAATAATCTAATTTATAAATTGATATAGGAAATTTCCTTTTTATATTAATTTTTAGCCTTTTTAGCTACAATTTTGTTGTTTGTTTAGTTCACGATTCGAACCAGTTCCTTGTCTTTAGGTTCGGTTTGTAAAGCTGGCATTCCACGTAAACGATCACTTGGGTTTTGATAACTTTGTAAATTGTTAATGAAACAATGTAAATCAGAGTTTGAGACTTCACGTTCTTATGCAAATTTCAGCTCTATCCACAAATGGCTTAGCTTTATTTTGGGCAACTTTTTTGGTTTTCATTTGAACTAATATGAAATTGTGTACACTAACCTGGCTGGGCTCAAAACCAATTAAGTATGCTTCGATGTGAAAACTGCCTTCAAAACTTAAACTTTGGTCATGTTTTCATTTTCGGAATTCGGTTTGTGTATAAAAAGTTCGTCTACATTCAACTGTTGTCTGGTTTGTTTATGCATTCCACTGTGTTATTGTTTAGTTGCTTGGGAGCCCCAGATGTGTTGTGGGTGCCACATCTGGAGCATTGCCACATGCATTCAGGTGAAACAGTTTTGCAATTTCACGCGGCCAGCCTCGGGACTCGAAATGGCCAGGCGAGCCCTGCCCCAATGCCCCGCCCATGTGCGAGTTCTAGTTGCGTCAGCATTTGACTGAAAGACAAATGGAAGCTACACTTGGCTTGGCTACTGGCGGCAGCAATTAAAGGATTTCATGTTGTTGCTGCTGCTGCTGCTTGCTCGCTCTTCTTCCTCTTTCCGTTCTCATCTCGCAGGATGAGTACACACAAATTTTTTGCTCTTGTCTCCATTTAGTCACTGTTAGTTTTAACTTTAAGGGTCATTTGTCTCTTGCAAAACTTTTCGTCTCACTTTGTTTCGAGCCAACTTGCCAAGTCATTCTGAATGGCTCTGAGCTGCGCGGTGGACCCTGTCTGGTCAGGACCCGGGCTTTGGCCGCGCCAAATTATTGGCCCTGTTGGGGCATAATATATCTTCATATAAACATGCATCGCCATAAACAATATGAATTTATATGTGCGCTGTGAAACGTTTTAATTAATCACTAGAGGGCATCAATTGCACTTTGTATGCTAATAATTTATGTTATAAATATTGCACAATCTCATGTTTCGGTTGTCGGTAGAACAACCTCCCTTCCCCCACCCAATTCGCCTTCCCCCTCCGACACGATCATATCCATAATTTGAGGTTTAGCTGGGGGTCTCTCCTCTCCCCCGCCACGAACATGCAACACGCTTGTGGCACGCATTTAAAACGAATTGATATTCAATTATGCCAACGACTCTCCACAGTGGCAAGCAGATGGTTTGGTTTTGGGCGTGGCTGCCACCCAGCGCAAAATTATTAAACAGCAAACAATAAATATTTATTTAGGTTTGCAGTTCATATTTTACCATGTTTGATGTGGTTGTAATTGTTGTTAAAAATGCGAGCAAAAAAAAACGGCATTCATTCGAACAGCAAACAACGCGAATCGATTGCTCTTTAAAAATCGCCAGCAGTAAATTTGGTTGTCATTTATCTATCGAATTCCATATTTTTGATAACCGAATGCGGGCTAAATTGTGAGACAATTTTGGTCCTTGCTCTGACTTTCGTTATATAAATTATTGATGTTTTTAAATTGACTAAATTCTATTTAATATAAAATTTATAACGAGTGTAGAAATCAGCATGACACAAATTTGTATTAAACCAGATTTTTGAGGATGCAACAGAAAAAGATATGGCAATTAAAGTTGAAGTGTTCTCTTTTAAAATATCGATAAATAGTTCTGTGTAGCTCAAATCAATAAATATGAATTTTAAAGCCCAGATTATATATCCTTGTGATTTTGTCGTTACATGTACAACGCATAGAAGAAGACATCTCCGACCCCACAAAGTATATATATTCTTGATAAGTGACAACAGCCGAGCCGATATATTTTCATTAAACTCAACATTTACGAGCCTCAGTAATGTCATATATCTGCAAAACCGTATGGCAAATATATAAGGGTATTAAATCTTCGGCCAACCGAAGATATACTAACATTCTTGTTTTTATTGTATATTAACAGATCTGAGCATTATCTTAATGCTCCAAAATGTTCATTATCGTTTGGGCAATAAACACAAAAGTTAGTCAGGAAAGCAAATACCCAGAGAAACGAGATCCTTCCGTAATATCATATCAAATGTTTTTCCAAATTTCGTTCTATGCAATTCCTTATTAATTCGACAATAAACACAAAAGTTATTTAACATTATATTTAGTATTTTTTTAATGTGTAGGCACAATTACGAATAATTTTAAAGTTAAGTGGTGCTTACGCGAAATTTTCTGAGCTTAATGCTAACATTTCCGAACTCGATTAAGGTAGGGATTTATTTCTTTACAATCTGCACCCCAATTTGATTCCATATTTTAAGATATACTCTATTGTTAACTGTCTACGTAGCTTGCGACGAGTGTGTTTGGCAAGCTTGGATCGCTGAGCATCCAAATAACCCTGATTAATGCCCGGTCTGTGAACCAAAAATGCATTATCCAATGTATAAAACTGGTAGCCCATTAGGCACAATGCGTAGGAATGGGTTTCCTTATCGTACATGCCCTCCCAGCTTAGACGCTCATCGTACCCTGGATCTTGTTTGGTGCCAATGTAGATCGGATCCCAGTAACCGATACGTTTATTCACGCTAAACACTCGGATTGTATCGCTGTCATTGACATGTTGAATCCAGTTTTCAAGATTTGGTCCCATGTTGAATTCGGAGGCGACCTCTTTGTGAAAGGGTATGGCCTGGCCAGTGTTCAGCTGGTATTTTAATTCCTTTTTGCTGGTTGGCACAGTGCCATTCGCTTCCACCTCGAAAATGTTAAGTGTAAAGACAATGGGCTTTGTGGCGTTCAGTAAATGCCTATTAGCTGTTAGCATAAGCAAAAAGCCATTGGCCAGACCCGGCGAGGGATACAGCTCGATATCGGAGGACAGAACGTAATGTGTCACTGCCGCCTCTCTGGCAATATTTCGTCCCACATTAATGGGATATTTGAGTTCCATTCGATTTCTATATAGCTCATCACTTGACACATTGCCAAACGGCGGAACTTCGGTGCATTTAATTTTTTTGGCCAACAATTTCTTTTGCTTGTAGACCTGCCGCGGTATATGATTAACATTGAAGTAGATGTGAAAACTAACCCATTTGCGGATTAACTTCCACTGTGGATCACATTGGCGCAGCCACAGAATGCTCGACACCGTCCTATCAAAGTCCGTACCCGGTGCGTAGAGCGCCAAACTAATGGGTGCTTGCCAACGCTCCACCAATGGCGCCACATTGTTCAGATATCGATAGTCCCCGTGGGTGCTGTAGGTAACACACATCGAGCATCGCAGACTTCCGTGTTCTGCGGGTACATAGTTCACCAGAGTCCAGTAATTCGAGTGCAGTTTCTTTTCGTATACATTATCACGATCTGTGCAATTGATATTTATGCGTAGCTGAAGAAATTTCGTGGCTTCATCGGGATTCTCTGATTCTCTTTGAATCTCTGCCGTACTCTCGCCCCTCACCATGTAGAGGCTCATCATGTGGAGCAGAAGCAACAAACACGATCTAACCATTTTTTCTTATTTATCTGTTGTTGAATTTGAATTGTTAGTGAAATTCAAAGTGTACCTGATACTTGATCTGAAATTTTTATTTCATTTGAATCGTTGACTTATACACAGCCTTCTTTGTTTACAAGTGTACGATATAAATAGGGAAACAATATATTTTAAGTACTTTAGTATGGGTATAACCTAGACTATTTTAAATAGAATCTCAAAAGCCGGGCAGGTATCTAATAGGTGAATTATTCTTGATCTGTTATTAAAAACGAAAGTCTTAATTACAAATTGCCAGATTTAGATGCCAAATTGATCAAGAGGCCAAACCATGAGCAAAAAGCAAAACCTTATGAAAATTGGTTGAGTTTTGACCGAGTTATGGGAGTGAGAAATTTTGACCTATGTCTGTATAGGGTACCGTTAGATCATGAATTTTGACCAAGAATAATGTTGGCAGATTTAGATGCCACATTGATTTAGAGGTCAAACCATGAAGAAAGACACAATCCTGGTGAAAATCGGATGAGATTTGACCGAGTTATGGGGGTGGGAAATGTTGACCTATGTCTATATAAGATATTAGAGGGTACCGTTATAGCATGCACTTTGACCAAGAATAATGTTGCCAGTGTTTTCAAATCTCATACAATAGGCAATATTTTTTGAAACACAGTTTTATTTGCAAAAAATTTTTTGTTTGTTCAACAAATTTGATTCCACATAAGACAATAAGTGAATGTGAGTGATATTTGTTATTTTTTTTTAATATGACCGCAAAGCAGCTATAGAAATATATTTTGTATTGGGAAATTGATGAATTTCGACAATTGGCAGGTCATTGAAATCAATATAATGCAAATAATCTGGTGCTAAGTGGGCCTTATATTGATTAGCGAGAATTTTAATATGCAGCCTGCGCAAACATACAATTAATAAACAAAATTAATGTACATTGTTATTCATCGTAGTGTGTGTGTGCGACCTAACCCGGTATTTTGCAACTCCCGCCGGACAGCGAAATTTTAATTATGCACCATCGAATGGTGGTGGCAATATATATAATGTATATATGTATATAGAAAGTATTAGTAATTACAAGTTGAAATTTCATGAAAATACAATTTGCGATTATTGTTATTAGTGTCAGAGGCAACAGGCTATGGTTATGGCCCACACTCAAGCCCCACCCCCTCCCAAGCCCTACGCCCTACACCCCCAGACAACTTTCAATGGCGTAAAAGTTTTACGAGCAACGTTGTCGAGCGACAGCAGTTGAAAAATTTATAAATTCAATAGCACCTAATTAAAATTAAATCTGAAAGCTTGTTGTATCGACGATGGCACACAGCTTAGGCGCCAGCAACAGTATCAACAGAAGCAACAACAACAACAATAGCAACAACAATAGCAACAACGAAAACAATTACAAACAAGTATGAGCACTGTACTCGGGAATGCTTGACCGGAATATACCCTGCCTACAACTGCAACTTTATCTCTATAGCAAAATATTACTCGTAAATAATTACTAAATTTATCGTTCGATGCTTATAGATTTACCTGATGTAAAGATTTTATTCCAATATGTGCGCATACCAAAAATTATGTAACTTAAAGGTCTGACCTGGTCGATATATTTCAAAACTGAAATACATGTGAGCCGTGATTTCTGTAGCTTCAGACATTTGTAACTATCACACATATATTTTTAATTACCCGAGAAGTGATCAAAAAAATATATATCGATATTTATCGATATTAAGCAATTAAATAAACGTATTGTGAGAACCTGGGTTTGAAATAAGAATTATCTAGATTTTAAAATCGCTCCTCTCTCTTTCCTTCAGATTAAACTTCTTATCTTTTGAATAAGTCGAGATATGCTCAAGATACTGTATATCGATGATTACCGACGTGGGTAAGTTATCGAAGCAATTTATAAATTATTTATTTAGCTTTTTACTCTCTCTCTCTTTGAGATTATTGTCCTGATCGAATATATATATATTGTATGTTTAGGTTTTAAATTATTCAAGACATGCTAAGAGTCTAGATGTCGATATTTATCGATCTTGAAGACAAACAGCAAATTCTCAAAGCAATTATATAAACGTGCCCTTTGAAACTCAATCAATAATGAATTTATTTCGATTTTAAAATCTCTTTCTCTCACTCCTTCAGATTATAGTTCTGGTCGAGAATATATGTATATATTATATATAGGTCCTTTGCTTGTTATATACGTTTTCATATGCCCTTTTTGCAACATTTTAATGGGTATTTTTACGCGAGTTACAGGCAAAAGACGGTCTGGGATGCTGCCTAGCCTGCTTTGGCCGTTGTTGTTGCTGCTGCTGCTGCTGGCAGGATATGCAAGGTAAATGCTATAGCCGGAAATGAACACGTACTGTGTGTGTGTGCGTGCGTGATTGTGTGCGTGCGTGGGTGTGTGAGTGCGTGTTTACGAGTACCTGGAAAAAGTTTAACAGCTGGTTCAGCCGGGCTGTGCGGAGCTTATTTATGAGCCAGCATTCTGCGTATGTGTATGTGTGTGTGTGTGTACAATATTAATTATTGAGAGATTTGATATCGGCTTAAAGTTTCTGTTGTCGTAAGTGTTTTTTTTTGCACGGCCCACGCTCACGACGCCCAAAAGTATGCAATGTGGCAAGCAAATTGAAGTCACTTGTCGCATGCATCATAATCATAATCAACATCATTATTATCATCGTCATCATGAAGGTGAATCCAATTTGGAGCAAAACTTTCGTTGGCCAAGAGGTGGCTGGCGTAACAAGAAAAAATAACAACTTTAACCCATTGCTGGCTAGTGGGGTCACTTTGGCTCTTCGACTGTTGCACTTACTTTACTCTGGCGCTGGAAATGAACCAATAAATCAGTTTATAATGGCAAAAAGGCAATAGCAAACGCAATATGATGTCAGGACAAACTTTTGGCGCCTCTTTTCGAAGCGGACCCAAGCAGCAGCTGCATAGATCAATGAACCAAAGTCGAAAGTGTTTTTACGATGCGCCTGAAAGCAACGCAATGGAATTATATTTACTTGTGTGAGCAATAACCAAACCAGAGACGACAAAAGGATGGCCATAGCCGAAGACATGGACTGTAAATGGCATTGTGCACGCCGTAAGGGATACTAGAAAGCGACTGATGATTCAGCTACACAGAATCAAAGAGTCAAACTAATGTGTCCTGTATGTACTTTCTGAATGTACTCGGGAAAATGGACATATGATAGTACAAGCGCATGTTTTATTTTCCTTTCAAATGAATAGCCTGAAAAAGGTTGGAAAAAAAAACTATAGTTTTTGTTAGCAAATAATAAGAACTTCTATTGCATTCTTGTAAATGATAAACTAGAAAATCACATCTATTTATGTTTTTTAGTTGGTTTGCCAAGAATCTGTTAGAAATGTTGGCCATAATATAACAGGTAGGGTATATATAGAGGCCAAGCTGTATCAAATTTTAGTATCTAACTTTTTAAAGTAAGTAAAAGGCAGATGCAAATAGTTTCCATATTTTATTCCGAGTTATGTACTTTTTTGATCAAGTATATCATCAGTTTTCACAATTGTCTGTCAAAAGAGCTGAAACTGGATTGACTGGAATAAAGGAATACAAATCTGTAAGTTTTCTATCCATTTTCCACATTAATCGTGAAATTTCGGAAAAATACTTAAAAACCTACTTAAAAATGTAATCGAATAAAATTTGAACGTGAATGCTACCTTAAAGATATTTAACATGCAGCAAATTGAATTGATGGCAATCGATAAAAAAAATGTTATCGATAAATTTTCACATAGCTCCAAAATATACAATTTCAAAACTAATCTGTTAGTCTTTGATTTTCCAACATGTTCCAACAATTTTCTAGAATGCAGTTTATTTGTAGAACTTAAAAGACAAAATCTTGGACCAATTCTCCGAAAAGCCAAACAAGTTTCCGTTCTTAAAAATTTTCCAGCTTTGTATTAAGATTTGACTTAACATTTTTCGGAGTAAATAGTATATATCTAGTTTTTAAAATCTTAAGTAAATGCTGAATAAGAGCATAAAACGCAGCTAAATTGTTTAAGTAATAAAATGGAAAGAAAATTCATATTATGCTTAACAGAACAAGTCTTCAATTTATAGTTAGTTATTTTCAATTACGAAACTCGACTCGCTCCAATTTCGACACAAGCTCGTTTCGTATTTTGTGCAGCCCTGGCAGCAAAAAGACAGTCGCCTACTGCATAAATGCTGTCAAGCGTAAAACATGAAATGATAAACTATGGCAAAAGAATTGTAACAAGTGTTGCATATGTTTTGCATATGTATTTATTATAATACACATAACTTATAGCATGTAAACCAATATGTGTATCTATAAATATGTGCTAGATGACTAGAAAAGTCTGCTTGTCAACAGACACAACCAACAGCAGCAAAACAAGAAGGGGGCGACCGGGTTCGTGGTACAGTCAGCCACGCTGCATATTTTAACATTTCCGGTTTCATTTCACAATGCAAACAAAATGGCCGGCAGACGTGTTTCCGGCATACCAAAGGCACCTGGGCTGACCAAACACAATGAATGGCGGCCAAACTGAATTGGCGCGTAGGCGGCTGGGGGCATCGGGGCGTGTCGCTATGCATATATATATAAATATACATATACGGGTGCTATATCAGCCAATTGATTAGCGACATGTCCTCTCATCATAACTGGCTTATGATCAAGGTCCGCCGTTGGGAGCCGAATAGTTTTGTATACGCCGTGTGAGCTTTATTTTACATTTATTCAGTTTTTCTTTTCTTGGTTAAGAGCAGGGTTCGGTTTTTGCGCTTAACTCTTTAATCTTGCAGGCTTTTCTTTACTATTTTTTTTTCTGGCTGTGCGCAGTCGACATAAAAAATTTACCAGTTGATTTTATGCTGGATTAAGCTTAAACTTTATACTAAAAGG